GTTTCATTAATTTTGTTCCTTAACCCATGATTTAACTAAAATGAGGGAACAAATTAATACATCGAACGAATTCTTATGAAATCTTTCATTTCCCTTAGATGCGAAAACAGTGATAAAAAGTGAATGACAATAAAATAAACCTGCGAAATTAGAGGGTTAGACGGTGAGGATTTAGATAAGGAAACGATGCCTAAATATTATTGAATTTGTGGAACTTCGTGACCAACCGGCAAACCAGAACAAAGCTGCATAAGGCTATATGGGCTCGAACCGCATCCAAAAGCATGGTCGCGGTGTAACATTTTCCAGCTAACCAATTATTCCTCTAATAAACAAAGCTTTTATACCACACTTGTCATAATCAGAGCTTATCATTTGTAAATAAATAATTGCTGGATTCAAAACAGCAATTAAAAGGCGCTGTGACCGACACTGACAACACGTTTTCCCGGAGCATTCAATGCTGTCACTAAACGGTGATGCCAAACTACGAGCATCGTTCACAGGTTTCTGCAGGACCTAACTAGCCTAGGCACAGGTTTTCAAGCCCTGGGACAAAATGGGATGCTTTAAGGAAAATGTATAGCCCAAGTAATAGGCCTAAAATAAAAACAATTCGTTTTAACTACAAAAAACAAAAAGCGAAATATATCCGACTTAAATTATTAAGCTAACAGAAGTGTGGCGCGCGCTCCATAAACAAGTTCACGGAAAGGAAAGGATTCTGTTTGTTTGCTTTATTTTGCAAAAGCACAAATCTTGTTTTTATTGCGAGTGTGCAAAAACAGAAGTAAACACTTTTGCGGATTATATCTTACTCCAAAAATTGAGTTTTTTTGTGTTTCAGCTGTTCGATCGCACCGGCGCCTCGCGCGCACACACCCCACATATTCTAGCAATTCAAACTTACATCGCAGTCTGTTCATTATCAAAATAAAATACAGTCAACCAAACATCTAAAAGGTTACACTGGTCCGTTTAAATAGACCGTAGTATACTGGTCCACTCTGCTGTTAAGGACTTTAAGTACTGGTCATAATACTCACATAAAAATGTTTCTTTTTAGCAACAGTGTGTTTTGCTGCAGCAGCGCCGATGGAAGCGGTTCACTGACTGCAGCCACACGCGCCACAGTTACGTTTGGGATAATTTTATTTTAAATGCCATAATGTCACTTGAAAACATTGCAATAGTGTTTTAAAATACAATAACGAGCACAACGAACCCATTTAAAGGGGTCATATGATGCAATTTCAAGTTTTCCTTTCTCTTTGGAGTGTTACAAGCTCTTGGTGCATAAAGATCTGTAAAGTTGCAAAGACTGAAGTCTCAAATCCAAAGAGATATTCTTTATAAAAGTTAAGAGTCAGCCACACCTACCTAAAACGGTTCTGGAAGTAGATGCAATTAGGAATCATTGGTTAAGATTTATTTACAACAGAACAGCACAACCCAGATGTTCGAATTTGTGCAACGCATTTTATGGATGACAGTTTTTTGAACCTAGAAGAGTACAAAGCTGGCTGTGCACAAACACCATTTCTAAAAAAAAAAAAAAAATAAAATAAAAAAAGTCAATTCTTTCTTTGCTATGACAATCTGGCGCTTCTGAATCAGCGACTGTACTTATGTTTTGTTATTAGTTTAAGTATTTGCTATTGACTGTTCAAATGCGGAGTTTTGCGCAGCGCAGAGTAACGCGTCGTGTGTGTGTGTGAGTGAGTGAGTGAGTGTGAGAGAGAGACACACACACACACACATCACAGGAGAGTGAACAACCTGTCAGAAATCATAGGTCAACTGTCTTAACCGCGGCTTGATGCAGCTTGTGTACTGCATCATCAATACACAAAATAATGATCTTTAAAATATCATATGACCCCTTTAAAGAGGCGCATTCAGCGGTCTCCGTGTCGGGATAGGAAACAGTAAACAAAGTAAAATGATCTCAAACGTACGGCGTGCTCCCTTCATTTTATCAAATGATCATTATCACATCTATTCGTTTTACAGTCCTGCTACTAGCATTTTATTCAGACCAAAACCCCTTTT